TTTAACTCAGTCCCTGCTAAATTACAGAGAAGCATAATGTTTAGCAACCCAGAGGGAACTCAGAAAACAGAGCAAGACTGAAGCCATGGCTCCAGTCTCTTACTGGGAAAGCCTGTGGCAGCACAGAAACAGACCCACGGATTCTGGGGATGGAGTCAGGATACATTTCTAAGCCTAGCGAGCAAGGAATGCAGAAATGGTTTCTCCCCTGCCTGACCTCCCTGTCTGTGCCACCTCTATTTATTTATCCCTAGGCACCCTGGACAACATGAGGAGGTTCTGATATAAGGTGTTAGTTTCATTCAGGTGCACCTGTGCAGAAGCATTAGTTAACGTCTCATTGAAGTGTCCCACATGTTTCTTTTACCTCAAGACAGCTTAGCGATGGCATTCTCAATCGTTTCCCTAATCCTGGCCCACATAAATTTTCTACAAGTTATTCTTCCCATCCATCAAGAGCTCAGTGAAATCCTTTGGCGTGTACGGTGCATCTTGGCACCAAGCGCACTCACGAAGGAGCCCTGTCATTGCTATGATTTTAGCTTCCATTTCCCCCCACCTTGGTGTTTGAGTGGCTGTGCATGTAGTTTATACAGTAGGGAGAGAGGTGGGTAGTGAGAGCTGGGGTGGGGGCAGGTGTACTGCTCTGTACATTGCAAGGACTTGAGGATGGCGTGGGAATACTTACACAAGGGCAAGAACGACTGCAAGAGACTCTATGTGGCAAACGTATGCCTTAACAACTTTCATGAAATTTTATTTTATGTCTAAAACACAAACTATCTCAAATTTAAGCAGTAACAGTAATGGGATCCATGAGTTCAAATAATACTGTAATCTTAAAAAACCTTTTCTCATATCAAGAACAACCAAAACTTTTAAATCATTATCTAAAGAAGGAAATTAGTATTAAATTCTCCGCCACTTCTCAGAGGGGATTAAGTGCTTCCTCAACTAGTTTATATACTCCAGTATTTTCAGCCTTTTTGTCCCTACTGTCCTTTCAAGGGAAAATTTAAATTTTATTACTGTACACTGTTTGATGTGACGAATTAAAATAATATACTTAGGAGAGTGACATCAGTCTGAAGACAAGATAGACGTTTCCTGTGTTCATCCCTCACAGAAAATTTTAACAGGAACATGTCTTTGGAACAAAATAAAACATCAAATAAAGTAACTAATCCTAATGAAATGAAGGTTTATGAATTTTCCCAGTGAGAATTCAGTTTAATTGTCAATTTTATTGGATCAGAAGCCGTTCAAATATATTTCTGGGTTTTTCTGAGTGGGTCATGGAGGTATGACTCTGGGTCCATATACGGTCCCTTTTCCCCTCTCTGAATTATTCCCCTAGTCTGCTTCCCAGCCACCGTGAACCAATCAGCTTTGTTTCAACAGACCCTCCTGTCATAATGGTCTTGCCTGGGAGCCAGCCAACCATGGCTGAAAGCTCTAAAGCCATGGCCATATAAATCTCCCCTCCTTTTAAATGGCTGGTGTTGGATATTTGACCAGCAATATGAAAGCTGATAATACACCCAAGAAGGAATCCTAACGTATTGTCTTAATAGTGTGATGGGGATCTGGAGATGAGGGAGATAGAGGGAGGAGCAAGAGAAGAAAAAAGGATCAAGATGCAATATATTTGTGAGCTACAGATAGACAAGTACAAAAAATCAGGAAAATAACACATGAGCAAACCAAGTTTAACAAAGTGATATAAACCATTTAAAGAATCAAACAAATTTTGGAAATAAAAAACACAGTATGTGAAATAAAAATTCCACAGGCCACTTTGACTGTTGATTCTATCAAGCATAAAAGAGAACCAGTGAGGTTGAAGACAGGTCACTTGAAATTATTCAAAGAAACAAAAAGACACGAGAATTAAACAAAATTGAGAAAATATATGGGATTTTTGAATCATCAACTAAACTAATATATGTGGTTTTAGAGTTCCATAAGGAGCAGAGAAATGATAGAAAACTTAAAGAAATAATAGAAAAATACCCAAATCTAGAAAAGTAAATGAATAGCAGGTCCATGAATCCGAAAGTACCCCTAAAAGATTAAAATATAAAACAATTTTCACTGAAACACATTACAATCAACAGTCACCAGGGATTTAGCTCAGTGGTACCACTGCCTACCTCACAAGTGCAAGGTCCTGAGTTCGATCCCTGGTACTAAAAAACAAACTGTACAATCAACTGTCATAAGCCAAAGTCAAGGAGAATTTTTAAATCAATGAGAAAAATATCACTTGATGAATAAAAGTCTTTTCCATAAAACCAGCAATGGCTTTCTCAACAAAAAACCTTGTAGACCAGGAGAAAAAAGGAAAATACATTTAAAGTGCTAAAAGAAAAAATCCCTTGACAACCAAAAGTACTATAATTAGCAAATCTGTCATTCCAAACCAAAAGAGAGATAAAGACTTTCAGAGACAGATGCTAAGGGAGTTCATTATCACTACAACAACTTAAAATAAATGCTAAAGGAATTTCTTCATGTTAAAATTACAGTAACAACATAAAAACATAGAAACTATAAAATTGACTCTAAGGATAATAATATAGGTAATCATTAAAGGTAGTAATATAGGTAATAAGGTAAAGATAATAATACAGGTTAAAAAGGTAATATATACAATAAAGTTAAAATTAAAAAGCAACAACTATAACCATAATGATTTTAATTGATATACAATATATAAATGATATAAATCAAGGAATCAATAACATAAATTGCGGGAGGAAGAAAAAATGTGTAGAGTATCTCCACACGTGACATGATTTTATATGCAGAAGATTTCAAAGACTACACCAAAATACTGTGGGAACTAATAAACAAATTTGGTAAAGTTATACTACACAAAGTTAACATGAAAATCAGTTACTTTTGCCTATACCAATAAAAATGATCTGAGAAACAATTACAAATATTTCATATATAGAAACATTAAAAATACAATAAAACAAAATACTTAGGGAATAAATGTAATCAAAGAGGTAAAAGATATGTACACTGAAAACTATAAAATATTGATGAGAGAAATTGAAACGAAAAATAAATAAGAAAATATTCATAAATTGGAAGAATATTGTCAACAAGTTCATATTATCCAAAGTGATTTACAGATTCAATGCAATCCCATATCAAAATTCCAATGGACTTTTTATAAACATAGAAAGGGTAATTCTAAAATTCATATAGAGCCACAGAAATATCGAGAAAAAAGTATAAGGCAATAGGTGTCACACTACCATATTTTAAAATATACCATGTGCTAAAACTTTCATAGTTAAAAAAGCATGTGGATGTATAACAGGAGAGAAAACTCAGAAGCAAGTCCACAAATTTACAGATAATTTAACTTTGTAGGGAAGAACAGAATGATCTCACCCATATGTGGAATGGAAAGTTGATATAGAAATTGAAGGGGAAGGGGAATAAAAAGAATTCAGATGTGTTATTCACATGCACCAATTCCCCGAAATGAATGGGATCATTATGTACTGAAAATATGTACTAATAACAATAAAAATTGCTTAAAAAGACAAAAAAAAAGAGGAAGAAATCAGAACAGTAGTTTGAAAATGCTAGGGAGAATAGGATGTTAGGGAGAAATACAAAGAGGTTGATAAATGAGGTAAGAACTTCTGATGTACTATTTCATAATAGAGCAACTATAGATAATCATAAAATGCTACAATAAAGGATTATACAAGTTTTTGCTATAAAAAATGATAAATGTTTGAAGAGAGATGTTTAACCTGACTTAATTAACATGCGCTATATATACACATATAAGATATCACATTATATCTCATAAATATGTATAATTTTCATGTATCAGTTAAATGTAATTAAAAGTACTTTTTGCTTATTAAGCAACAGACATATTATTTTGTATTTTCTCTTAGATGTTTTAATATTATGTTTTTGTCTATAGGAATTTTTTGTTATGGTCTCAGGCAAGATCATATGTAGTGTTATTTTTTAAATTTTCCTATCATCATCTGTTAAATAATTTTCTATTACTGGTTTAAAACACTACTTATGGTATTATTATAATACACAAATTTTCATATTTACATGGGTTCATCTTTTGCCATCTCCTCTGTTCATTTATCTATTTTTATCTGGCACTATATCAATGCCAGATCAATCTAATTACTGCAGCATTATAAATATTCTTAATATCTGTTACTATCTAAGCAAGTCTACCTTTGTTTCCCCTCATTAAAGTTACTACAATTACTTTGGGGACTCTATATTTTGATATAAGTTTGAGGATTGTTTTCTTAAAATTCCATGAAAGATCTTGTGATTTACTTTGGAACTATACACATTTAGAGACTGTTGATATCTTTATGAAATAGAAGCTCTTCAGACATCACCATTTATTCAGATTTTTTTCTGCATTCTTCACATTAATGTCTATAATTTTCTAAGTAAGTATATTAATATAATGTATAATGATAAATTAAAATTAATAATATATGGTCCAAATTCTCAACATTATACAACTTTATCTGTAAATCTATTGTATATATTTCTAAATACAGATACTCTACTTATTTAAAAATCTCAATTACAATATTACTAAAGTCTGTATTGACTCTTACCACCAATTCTGAGGTGAAATGTGTGAATTTTCCCACCAAACCAACGAATTCTCCACACCGACTGATGGTTCTATAGCCCAGCTCAATTCAGATGTATCTAGACTTAGCACAAATCTCACAGATGCCATAATTCCTAGGCTAGTAGGTTTGCAAGTTAGAATCATTGGAACTATTTTGTCTGGAAAAAATTGTCTTAGCATATATCCTTTTCTTAAGAGGTCAACTACAAGAGGAAACAGTCCATTTTTGATGGGTATTAATAAAAAATTTAAACAGGAAATACAGGTTGAATGTTGCCCAAAGGATTAAAGCACATTTCTCCCACTAGTGCCCACGAAACTGGTGTTAATGAACGTAAATGCTCACCTGGTAGAAACCATGGTTGTCTGTGACATGGCGATCATTATCATGGCCTTATTTTTAGTCCAACGTGAAAGAGTTCATTTGTCTGAATTTTATTGTAAGGTGTTTTACAGATACGATTAGCCCCATTCAATTTGAAATGCTGTAAAATCTAAAATGATGAAAATACACATAAAAGTACAAAGCAAAGCAGTTAAAAGTAACCATAGAAGACATCATTAAAAAAAGAAAGAAAGAAATGATGATGAGAGTAAAAGGGCAGCCCCTAATAGTTTGGAGACATTAATTATATCTATAACCAATAAAACACTTGTTCATAATAAAGAATTTTTACAAATCAGTAAAAAAAAATGTAGACAACACAATAGAAAAAAATGGGAAAAGAAACGAATAGGCTCTCTACCCACCCCTGAAAAGGATATCCAAACTGCCAAAATTCATAGAAAATGATGTTGAGTTTAATTATTCATCAAGGAAATACAAATTAAACACACATATGAATGGTTAAAACCAAGATGAACAAAACCAAGTGTAGGCAAAGACATTGGCAAATTATAATTCTCACACAATTTTTAAGGGGGTTTAAATCAATTATTTGGCAAGTTGGCCTAGCTAATAAAACTAAACATATGCTTGCCTTTAACTTAGGCATTCCACACTAAAGAAGAAAACCAACAAATAAGTACCCATATCCACCAAAACTTGTCAAAATCTTTCGTGCAGCCTTATTTGCAAGGGCAGAAAAACAAACAACACAAATGCCTATCAATAATAACATGGATATCTTTCGATAAAACGATGAACCAGATAATTATGCATTTGTAGAAAAACGGGTGAACCCTAGGACCATAATACTAAGTGGAATAAATCAGACACAGAAGGTTAACTATCACATTTTTCCATAAGTGAGAAATCCAGAGTATAAATAACTCAAAGCACAAAGTAAAAAACGAATGATAGGAAACAGGAGGACAGACTTTGCGGAAATGAGGAGGAGGCCTGGGGACAGAGGGAAAGGGGATGGAGCGGAGGGGGAGAAAAAGTAAAATGATGTGATATGTAGATGGATCAACTGCCCACGATGAACGTATTTATTATATACTACATATAATAATAAAAAATGAAACAGATACTATTCTATAATTAGAATGATTTTGCTATACTAAAAAAATGGATAAAACTCACAAAGGTAAACTGAAGAAAATGAACCAGGCACAAAAGTGTTTCTATAGGACTCTGTTTATATAATGTCCAAACCAGGAAAAACCTATCAATGGCAACAGACCCCAAGAGCATCATTATCCTTGAGGAAGGACTGAGTGGCTGAAAGAGGAGTCCAAGGGGGACCCTTGGGTACAGGTAAGTGTTACATCTTGATGTGATGAGTTTTCAGTGTTATAATTATTAGACATATTAATTGTACAAATTAATGGGCTTCATTTTGAAATTTCCATATATGCATATAAAGTGCTCTTCTTATAGCTATGGTATTTAAATGCAAGCATTTGCTTTGTGAAACCTGGGCTGTGCATTTAGCATTGAGCACAATTTCTACACTTGCATAAAAACTTTAAGTAGAGATGAAAAATAATTCTAGGCATTTTGCAGGAAAGCCACAAAACTAGAAAAAAAAATCTGATTCTTAACACAACAATGACAATCATTTGCTAAAGAAGGACAGATTCTTTCAGATGTTAGTTTAGAACACAGTTCACAAATTTAAATGACTGCAAAGGGCACAATTTTCACAAGCATATGTGACAGGGCCAGGTGTGAGGCAGTAGGGATTAAAAGGGTAGCATTGTTTCCAGACAAAATGCAAAGCCCAGTTACTTCATCTTTAAAAACACTGTGCACATAATTCCCAGACCAGTGGTTATACAAGCTGAGATTACAAGGATTATTCTGTCTGCGAGGAAGAAACAAAATTATTTGTCTTGCACACATTTTTCTCTTTAATAGACCAACAGGTAAAGGAAATAGTAGGCTTATCTGTGACATGTTACTGAAGAGGACTGAGAGAGAAACGGGAACTGGAGAAGCCAACTGATTTTGCCCATAGGCCTACAGCCCATTTTTTCTACCAGTATCCAGCAATGAACTTCAATATCTGCCTTGCTGAAACTCAAGAAGTATTTGACATTGCTGTGCATAGATGTCTCCTAGGAGTGGAACTCTTGCTGGGTAAATAAATTTGTTTTCTCTTTGGAAGATCACCCTGCCTTTTCTTTCCAACCACAGAGATCGTGAAAGCATTCAGTTTTTGTGTGATGACAAAAGAAACATAAAAAAGCAAGAGGTCTTAGCATGGTAAAAAGGTACTTTGCTGATTAGTCAATACCTCACCTATCCTAATTTGTAATGGGACGAAGAAAATGATTTGCTTAGCGTTGACATATTTGGTATATTGAAAAGAGCACCAGTCATAGAGTCAAAATGACCGAGCACAAGGTCTTCCTGTGGCACTTACTAGTTGTATGACTTCGATGACTTACTAAACCTTTCTCTTCCTGTGAAATGGGAAAGAGTAATTTATATCCTAAGGCATAGGCAGAAATCTTAGTTCCCAGACTTAAGCTTGTAAGATGTGTCAATTTGATTTCCTTTTAATTGACTTGAGTCAGCAAGTGTCTCTGTAAGAACTAGATGGTCCACTCCTGAGTGTTTACCTGTAAGGGATTTAACAGAAGGCCTATTGATAGTGAGGGGCGAAGTTAAGGAAACCATCAAGGGAGAACTGACTGCACAGTATCTGTTACCTCTCCTAAGCCTCAGTGAACAGGGACAGAAGAAATGTTTCCAGGAAAACATTTCACACTGGGAAGGAAAGAGGGAAAGAGTCACGGCACAAAAATAAGGACTGCTGACCAGAAGCTGTAACCGGGGCACAACAGCCACTGCCAGAATATCACTGCCACAGCAAAGTGAGCCAAGACAACCAACTTTCTGGATTCCTGCTCCTCTCGAGCTCCTGTGCCTCCTGTTGGCAGAACCCGACCCTCCCATCTTCCTGTACCAACTAGCATCACCCACTGTGTGAATTCAAGCAAAATTCTAAGACTGTGAGAAAGTAGATGACAGATACCGTTACAGATTATACTCCCCGAGCAAGGAAGACAGAGTAGAGTGGCTCCAAGGGTGGGCAACACAAAATAACTGTCCCAGTGTGCGACCACAACAGTGTAGAGAGTAAATGATTAGTTAGATTCCCAAGAGTGGCACCAACGCTGAGAACTCTCAGACTTTTATTTAGAATATATTTAGAAAAAAAGCAGAAGAAAAGCAGTTTGGGCAAGGAACTGTCTCAAGGTGAAGCAGTTTTCTTGGGGAAAGAGGAAGGATAACAACCAGACACAAAATGCTTAACTTAATCTAAACTTCCAGTGTATCCGTTCACTCCTCACAGAGCCTACATGTTTATGGCCCACAGTTTAATCATGCACTCCTTGGTCAAGGCCCCCACAAATAACAAGCAGCTAATTTATTTTTGTGCCTACATCCTGTTCAGTAGCTGTGTTAGTTTTAGTTATTATTTTCCACCTGCCCTTATATCCCAACCATTAGGGATTGCGGCTGGCTGAACTGTTGTGGTCCTTCTTAGTGCCCAAAAATGGAGGAACCAAGGAGGCGTTCCAACCCCTGGCTTACACTAGGAACTTCTGAGAGCCTGTTGGCTCTGTTTGAATGGTCCCTTCAGGTCTGTGGTCCAGGTAAGTTCTCCAAGCCATGACTCAGGATCCTCATTGGGACTAGAATTCCCTATTGCCTGCATTTGACCTCCAGGGAACACCATCTGTTATATGCAATGGAGGCCACGCCATCTGCTCAAGGTACAACCAAGAAACAAGTGTCCCCTACCCTCTAGAGCTGCTAACTCTTGTCTATTTCCCACTTTCTGGGAACTCTGTCTATTCCCTCCCCCACCAATCCATCCACGTATCCAACAACCACCAAAACATTTCCCTCTCCCTTGCCCATCCACTTCCTACCTGGTAAGAGTTCAGAGTGAGGTAAAGCTTTTGTAGAAGATCAATAGACTTTTACTTTTCTGGCAGCTTTTACAAAATTTTCCTAGGCATAAAGGTAGCAAGGACCTAGATATCTGGAAACCTGAGGAAGAAAACTAACTTCCTCCTTGTACTCTTGCAGGCTCATGACACTATAGTGCGCTACCCATCCCTGGGACAGGTGCAGCTTTTCTTTATACTGTCTATAGTCATTATACTATAAACTTTATATCATCTGTAGACTTTGTACTGTCTATAGTCTTTTCTCCAGACACTCCTTCCTTAACTCAGTGCACAACCTGGTACCTTTTTACACTTTGGGTCTCAGCTTACCTGTCTCTCCCTCAGAAATTCCTCTTTTTTCCAAACTTAAAAAAAAATATTGATAGCATCTTGCTTATTCCCTCCAGCATCTCAGACTATCCTGGGTGTTTATTTACAGGTTTATGGTTTATCTTTTTTAACTAGAAGCCGGTCCTGTTAATCTTACTATTGTCCTCAGTACTAGCACCTAGTATGACTTCGTAAGTATCAGTAGACCGAAAGAATAAATGTTTTAGTAAATGAACCAATGAATCTTCTCATTGAAACTATTATGAGTAATCCGAGGACGTTTGCTGTTTCCCCACTGTTACCACTGGTGGAGAGATGACATGTGATGCTTGGATAGAGCAAGAAGAAAATCAAAGTGTTGTGAATTCCAGTTCCTCTTGATACAAAGGCTCTCGGTGTGTTACTTTCTTTCCCACCACAAGCTGAGGTATAATTGCTATGCTAAAAACTGCACATAATTAACATATACAATTTTGTGAGTTGGAATATACATAAATTCTTACGTTACCATTACCACCACCCATCCAGGTGGTAAACATATATCTCTCACTTCCAAGTCTCCTTCTTTCCCTTTGTTTTTTCAGATTTTTTTTTGTTTTATTTTTGTAGTGAACTGTTACGAAAGCTACATTGTTAATAAGTGTTTAAGTAAGTACTACCTTATCAACAATGGGCACTGTGCTGTACAGCCAGTCTCTGGAGTTTACTCCTGTGTAACTGTAACTTTATATCCACTGAGCAATAAGCCCCCATACTTGCCGCTCCACCCTCTGGCGATCACAATCCTATTGTCTATTTCTATATCTTTCAG